AACTATTATACGTGATGTACGTTTTTTGGGGGGTGGTTAATGAAAGTGTTCCAAAATGCAACATTAATTTCTTGACAACCTAATATTTTCACCATATAAAATAAAGAAACCTGTAAAGGAAAAAAAATAATGTTACAAAAGTGTTTGGAAGCTTTAGGTTATATACAAGTGTAAAGAGTTCAGGAATTGTTTTGCTAGTCATTCTTCTTATATGTCATGTTTTATTATGAACTTTGAAGGTGAAGAAAATTGGAGGGGGAGGATTTGGAGAGATATACGAGGGTCTCGACCTAGTCAGCAAAGAATTAGTTGCTCTGAAACTGGAGTCAGCAAAGCAAGCCAAGCAAGTGTTAAAGATGGAGGTGGCTGTGTTGAAAAAACTACAAGGTAAGTTTACAGTTTTATAACAAATATTTAGTTGTTAAACCCATGCCTTAAAATATTATCATACAAGAACTTCAAGGTAAATTAACATTTGTTGTATTTCTGTTTTTATATTAACATAAACTTTATATTTATGACAAGCTTTGAAAACTTTAGTGTAAATCAGTACTTGTTTGCTGTTGTCATACTGTTGTACTTTATAGTACTTCTATTACAGTAGTAGTTGAATTAAATATACCATGAAAATAAAACACGTTTTGATAAAATATTGATACATGTAATGCTGATTATTACACAAAATAATATCCTGTACTTTGAAAAAAAATATTCAGTAATGTTTTACAAATTTTTTTAAAGTATCTCCCTTTGTAAAATCACAGGAGTTTTAGTTTTTCAATTTGAATTCTATTTCGAATTGTTAGTTATGTAATATTTACAAAAAGTTAGAAAAAGATTTGGGAAATCTGCAAAGCTAAATTAGAATGAACATCACTAATTATTTACAAATAATATGCAAGCATGTTTTAAATTTTAAGTATTACTATCATCATTTATTAAACCTTTCAAGAAAGTGATGTCTTTAGGCCCTAGTTTACAGACTATCAAGTGGCCTGACTTATTTAGAATAGCATTATGACATAGTGTTGAAAATGATGGGTATGTTCAGAAATTAAAAAGTAAATTTTTATTATACCCCAGTTTGGATTTAGTGATTATGAAGTATGCTAAAAATAATAGTGCTAAGTCAGTGAAATGGAGTGTGTGTGTATGTATATATGTAAAAATTAAATTTTTTTTAGGTATATTATTATGATACTTTTTTATCATATTTAGTATTCTTTATTGCAATTTTTATTTCTTTTTTAATGTTTTGTGTAACACCTCTGTTAGAAACATGCTATAATTATAGGATTTATATATATTTGAAAATTTATTTTCCAAAAATGGAATATTTGAGAAAAATAAAACATAAATGAATGGCCTTAGATAGGTTGCATTATAAGGTAAAAAGGCCTTATGTTTCACAGCCTTTGTTTTGCTGCAGTTTCTCTTCTACTGTGACTGCATTCACATTGTGTCATTTTTTTGTGCTTGTCAGGTGCCCAGCTCTATGAACATTTTGACTAGCACATCAGCTTCTCAGGACAGAGTGGACACTCCATCCTTCAAAGTTCAGTTGGTTGTGCCTTCAATTCATCTGTTGTTCTCCTGTTGTGTTACCTACTCTGACTGACTGTGATTATCGTTTCTCAGAATATTTTCTGTGTTCTGAAGAATGGTTCCCTGATATCTTGCATAAACAGAATCTTATTGAGGGGTTTGTCATGGGTGATGTGAATTTGTCCAGTCGGGACTCTAACATGTTCCTTATCCTCTGCATTTGTCTTGGGTAATCCATGAATTGCTCCATCTCCCAGTGTCTCTGTTCACCGATTTTTGGGTGTCTAGGGTTGAGATATTTTAAAATGTATTGGAGATTTTTTAAGCTTCAAATTCAGTAGCTATTGATTGCTAAGTTTAATGGACTACATTAGATTTTAACATTCTTCTCTCCAATTGTGGAGTTCTGTTGCAACATTTGTCAGTGTGCAGTCCAGGTAGCATCATAGTTTTCCTAATATCAAATCACTGATCGAAGGTAGGAAACAGTTTGCAGCAACCTACTGTATATTTTTATAATGTGTATGTTACTTATTCATTAATTTATTTTATTTTATTGAATTATTTATTATTATTATTCATAACGTTTTTTCTAAACCAAGTTCCTAGTATAAGCAAGAGTGTTTGTGCTTTTAATGTAAATAAGTTGAAACCAAGAGTGCTAATGCCAGGCTTTAAAATATTTTTATTTGCTATAACCCTAAACCGATGTAAAATGTGGATGGATAGGTAGGTAATTTTTTTTCAAATTGCTTGGAAAAATAATTTCACAAATAACACTAATTCCATGATCACCTAAAACATAATGTGTTAAACCATGAATACAATTACTATAAACATTTATTCTATGAAGAGAATTATAGAAATTTCAAATTCTTTCACAACACGCACTTGCTGGTGGATCTCGATTGACAAAGTTGAATTAACTGACATTGGCAATTTTACAATATTTTCTTCCATTGTACTTCGTTCAAAAAGTAAATCTACAAGTATTTCTCTTCATGTGGATAAGTTTCCAATCGGAATTAATTTGTTTTTATCCTGAGTCTCAATCTGCAAGAACATTTTTTTGGAGACAGATGCACTGAACAGACTTGTTTGCCATGTTGATATATGGTTGTAAATAGTAAATTATCCCCTACTAGGTCATATATTTATTAATTTAGCGTGAAGGGTCTTGACACTACAGTAACAGGACAATCAAATGCAAGCCTGATCTAGCATCAACAATGTGGTGTATTATTGCACAAACTAAACTGAATGATCCAGGTTAACTATTGTATTCTCAAAATAACTCAAAATTAGTTATGATATTTAAAAAGAATATTGATATTTTGAACTACAGTCATTTCTTTTTAATGTAATATAGTTTAATATATATATAATCTAATAAAATTTTTCTTTCTTTTTTTGAAAACAGTGAAGTATAGTATTTTGCTTAACAGTGATCAGGCTTTACCACTGTTCCATTTTACCATCTCACTGATGTTAATGAATAGGCTTACTAAGTTACTAATATAACTTAACTGCTTGATATTATAGAGTAGGTCTAATATTCACTATTGTATTGAGACTATAACAACAGGATAAATAAAAGTAAGCATGATTTAATATAAAATTCACAGTCTAAGTAAACAGATCCAAGCTGACTATTGTATTCTCAGAATAACTATTAATTAATTAGAATATTGAAAGAAATTAAGAAGAATATTAAAAAAAACATAATACTGAGAGCTTTCTGATACGATCACTTAGACCCACTAACAGTTAAAGCTATCCATGATTTGACCACCCTCTATTATGCTACTTTTTGCTCGCCATTAGCCTTGAAACTCCGTGTATACCACATTGTTTACCTGCATAATAGCATGCAAATGAGCATGCGACAATCCTCCACCAATAGGAGTGTGACACACACTCCTATTGCAGCTGATTCCCTCTGTGCAGTTGAACCCAATTCTCACTTTTTGATATCGCATGGCAGTGTTCAGACATTAGTTCACTATGATAATTATTTCACATATTGCATCTTGGCTCATGAATACGTGACTTGGTTTCTCAACTTTAGCTTTAAAAACTTTCTTTTGAATTTGAATTTAATTGTAAAATTTTTGTTTATTTTGTTTACTTCATACATTTTCATGTATTCTCAGAACACTCACTTAATGGTAGTCACATGCTGCATTATGAATTCCCTGTTTCAAATAATGACAACTACGGCTTCAGACATTACCTGGCAACCAACAACCCATTCAATTGACTGCTAGTTCGGCATTATCCACAGAGGATGTTTCAGCCTTAGTACATTGGTAAATGGCTTCTTTCGTGCAGGCTGGAGGATCTCCTGACTGGCAATTGCTCTCCCCTTCACTGGAGATTTGGAACAGGATGAATAGGACTTGGACAGCCTTTCCCCCCTTCCTTTGCCATGCAATCTTTCTTGCAACCTGTAAAAGTGCCTAGACCTTCTTCACCCTTTTTGAAATTAATATCATAGGTATGTTCTGTTTTGTTATTGTCACCCATATTTTATGACCCCTTTCTTTCACTGTTAAATGAAACACCTACTTCTGAGTATTTTGTTCTTTCCCCTTTGCCTGACATCAGGGTTCACGCAGAGCACTTTGTGAATCAATTACGGTCAGGGGTTAGTATGCCATGCTCCCCATGTACAGCCAAAATGTGTGCTTCAGCTTATCATCATTCGGATAATCCTTTTCTGGATGACCAACAGTTGGAATTGGTTCTCCCATTGGGAGTCGGACCCCGACACATCTTTTCATTTTTCACAGCCTCAGTTTGCATGCATTTGTTTATCCTTGACTGCACTTCTATGTTATTTGTCATTCATACACCTTTTGTCTGAGGCTTTCCATCTTTCTCCCTAGGCATTTTTGGTGGAAGCTTATACCTTACTCCTTACCACTTTGTAGAGATTGTCCTCTTCAACATTTCTCTACAAATCTAGCTCCTGTGCTGTTGTGATCTCTTTGGATAGGGATGTGCTGTTGATTAATGTGTTTTCCCCCACTCACTTTGTGAGATCTTTGATCAACTCCTTTCCTGTTACTGACTGTTTTTGGAGGGCTTTCTGACTTTTTGGAGTCTCGGATGGAATCCACACATTTACACACATTCCTGTCTTCCCTGACCTTTTGTTCGTCTCAAGTTTCTCCTGCTCCAGTTCCTTTTCCCCCAACTTCTCCTCCCTCTCCCTTACCTGTTCCACCTTCTCTGACTGCTTTGTCGCAAAGTACCAATATTCACAGACATCCCCCACACCGACAATGATACCAGTGACTATTCCATAGGTTCCAGGCCAGACTTATTCATTTTGCCAATGTTTGTGAATCCTTTAACATCGATTCTTGGATCATTCAGGTCTTATTGGAAGGACTCTCTTTCCTTTTCCTCACTCTTCCTCCGATGTCTCTGGTCCCTGTTTCCTTTCCCTTCTCCAGATCCTGTTTCCAGCCAGCATCTCACAGCAGCAATTCACAATCTGATTGTCAAGGGTGCCGTAGAACAGGTTTCTCCTGCTCTATTGGATTCTATTTCCAACTTTTTTGGTACCCCAAAAGACCTCATTCTCTGGATGTTCCTCGATTCACCATACCCGTCACTCTGATGGGCATTTACTCTGGGTATTTAGATAACAAAGTTCAATGTATCAGATGCTTACCTTCACATTCCTATTGCCCAAGCATCCCACCATTATCTTCATTTGGTTTATGAGAATCATGCATATCAGTTCCGTCCTCTTCATTTCTAGCTTGCATTGGCTCTATACATTTCCGGCTGGGTACTCACGTCTTTTGCCTGCCTTCTACATGCTTATGAGC